TCACAACGTTGCGCAACACATCAAATCTAATGATACGGAAAACGGAAACCAACTAATGGACACGAGCCCTTCCCGAACTTCAAAGTTAACATGCGCGGGGAAGACTGCGAGCCACCGCCAAGTTGGATCGCTGGGGGGAGGGGGTGAAGCATTGGCAGATGGCTATGGCATGGGTGTTCGCTAAGTTTTCCTAGGCGTGGCGCAGGTACTATCACCTGCGCAAATGGCTCAGAACCGCGAAGATTAACACCTAAACGATATTCGTAATGGACCACGCCTTCAAACATGAGAATGGGATTCGGGCCGCAGTGGGCCATTGCTGCGCAAACTAGAACCCTTTGCTTTCCCACTGCAAAAATGAGCACGGTTGGGACGATGGGAACCGCATTGCGTTTCAGAAAAGTGTGTTTAAGTCATCTTCCCATGCAGGTATTGAACATGTCTTGCTTCCATGAATCCCGCACGCGCAGCGTAATGCAACACATGTGTACATATAATAAGAGCGACAGCGGTTTACTTTCCAACGCGCCAACGTCTCAATACTCGAACGTGGGAATCTCGCATTTCTCATAAGGGCTCTCGCTTGCGAAGACGTGAAGATAACTGTTGTGGCACTAGGCCACGGCTGCGCATGAATGAATGTACGGCGTTTCGCAATGGCCTTTTGCACAATTCCCGTATGTAGGTATGTGCTGGTAGTGTCTGCTACCCTAGGGGGTTGCACACTGAGGGACCGACACCCCGCACGCGCATCATGATGCAGCACACGACATGTAAAAGAAAACAGTAATTATACCCGCGTCGGTGAATCAGTGCTGCGAAGATGGGAATGTGATAGTTTTCCTTATGGCTCACGCCTTCGAAATCGAGAAACTGACCGTGGTCGCAGTAGGCCACGGCTTTGCTGATGAGAGCCCTCGGATTTTCGCAATGGCCCGCAACTGCGAACATCATAACCCGATATTTTGCCAGAAACGTGAGAACGTCACCGAAACTACAGATGGGTGGGCTTCGTAATTGCTTTCCGAGGTCATGGGTGGTGGAGGAGAACACGGGGAAGTGTGAGACGGGCTCCGAAGAAGAAACCGTCCACCCCATGCAATACCAAACGGCACCATCTCTGCATCTCGAATGCCACATGCCATATATGCATGTCCGCTGGCTGCGTTAGGAGCGCAAGGCTGCGAAGCCTGCTGCTGGACTGCTGTCTGGTGTCATGTGTGCTATCTATTCCAATTGCCCAAGCTCGTTTCAATACCGTCTCGTTCGTCTACCGGGAAAGCCCGATCTGCAGGTGTCCCTCAGCCTGCTGGCCGCTCGAAACAGCTCCAGTGTTCCTGCAGAGACGCCGCCCAGCGGCCAGGTCTGCCAAGGAGGCCTCCAGGACGACCACAAGAGGTCCCGAAGAGAGCCTGGAGAGCTCAAAACTGCTGAAGACTGCCCCGAGATTCCTCCAAGATTGCCGTGGAGGGCCCCAAAGCGCCCCCGAGAGGGCAACAACATACTTAAACACCATACATGTGTTCGATGTCGTTTGCATTCTCCATCTGTTGCTCCCGCGATGCTCCTATACCGTTTCAAGACGGCCCCTGATCACCCAACATGCCCGCCGAGTTGCCGCCCAAAACGCTCAGCATGGCTCATCCAATGTGCCCTCAACATGGGCCCCAGAGGCCCCTAGAACAACCACAATATTGCCCTAGGTAGCCCGAAGGTGGCCCTGGAGGTCTCGAGATGCCCCAGTGAGGCCCCAACATGGCCCGACAACTTTCTCGATATATAGTCGCAACCTAACTCAGCCTGGAGGAACAGCGGCAGAAGGTTCAGCCCATATCAGCCCATCAGACATGACGTGAGACAGCATCGAACAACTATGTCATCAGGATACCGATGCAGCCATGAAGCCGCCATTCCTCATTCTCACACTCCGCATTCCCCTCTCCAACACGCCCAACGTCCGAATGATAATCCCCATGCGCGGCCGTATCACAGCATGCCGAACAATAACGCAATCTCGGATGTACTTGAACATGCATGCAATCGGTTCGAACCTGGCTCATCCGCAACACCATCCTGGTAGTCCGTGTGGAACGCTCCAGGTGTTGTCCCAGTCCACAGCAGACTGCGCGTGCGAGTGACCAACGGACAATGTCAGCGAGAGGACGTGTTACGTCGATCTCGAAAGGGCACAGCCGAATCACAATGTCCCACCACCCTCGAAGTACCTGCTACGAGGAACCCCTAAATAGGCGACGAAACCCCTGCCCCTCAAGGTTGAAATGCTCATTTAGGTCAGTCAGGCCAACACTTCAGGGCAAGTGTTCGGGCTCAAAGTGGGGACCCCAAATTTAGGACCCTGCCTTTGTGGATCGATTGCCTCCTGCATGGCTCCGACATGGCCCCCATGGCCTCAACGCAGGCCCCAACAAATCCCGAAGAGGGCTTCAGATGATCCAAAAGGGCCCGAAGAGCTCTCCAAGATGATTCCATAAAGCATATAAGAGGCTCCCAACGATCTCTTAGTTTAGCGCTATCGGCCTTTTTGCTTCACCGCTCCCGACTGCTCGCTCGGGTGTTATTACTGTATGGTCTGATGGGAGAGCTGGAAGCAGAAACAATCACACTCGTCTATTCACCATTTGGGGGTCAGCGGAATGGCGTGAGCTTCCCGAGCCATTAGCTTCCCGTCGGTGTTTTGAAGGTTCCTCGCGCTCTACCTCCGCATGCCTCCGACAGCCCGAGACGGGCCAACGGACCTCCACAGTGGCCCCAATTTGGCCCCTGCGAGGCCTCCTGGCGTGCCAGGGCGCGGCAATGATTCGCCGCGGGCGTCTTCCATACTGCACTTCTGTCGCCCACTCCCCTTCACTGTACCTTGTTCGTTTCTGCTCTCCTATCTCTCTGCTGCCTGTGTGTACTGCCGCTGCCCCTTGCATCGAGAGGATCCAGGCGATGGCATGGGCGATCGAGCATTTCGCATCCACTAGCTGCTGGCACACACATTGGAGGAGGAAGACACCATCAAGTCAGTGGAGCCGCGCCGCACGGCGCATCGGCTAAACAGCTCGGGGCTAATTACAACAGTTTTGGCGCATACACACTGAAGAAACATGTGTTTGCACAGTGCTGATTTGTAGCCTGGCCCGAACTCAGCGTGCACGAAAGTGCCGGAGGCTGCACATGCTTGCATAGCGTGCTCGTGCATCATCCGTACCCATGTCAATCTGGGGGCGGCCTCTTGATCTTCTTCCTTGTAAGATAGGAGGGTCAAGGCTCCCAGAGGTAAACGCTGTACTGCTAATTGCTGAGTGAGACTTGCTACCTCTTCCCACAGACAAATCAAACTGCATAAACAACTGCATAAACATAATGTGTTGGAGCTCCGCGCTGATTTCCTGGATCGGCTCTAGAACCCCCTCCCTGGCGCGCAGCGCGCCAGGAGCGGCGCCGGAAGCGCCGCCAGGGAGTCCAGCGCAAATCCTAGAAATCCGTTCGGACCGTCAACAAATTATGTGTATGTCATTGCTTCTTCGCCGACAGCAGCTGCTGGCAGACGAATGCAAGCACGCTGGGCGGCAGCTCCAACGACACGCGGGCCTGTGAGTGGCCTCCAGCTCGCCAGGGGCAAGGCCAAGCTTGAGGCCCAGGTTGACGTCCGCGAACTTCGGCAGGTGACGCCCTCCCCCGATTGGAGCCATCGTGCTACCACAGGGAACGCTGAAGGAGGGAAAGAAGGGGCTTTTCTGGCCATGGCGAGCCTCGGCGTCCAATAGGCCTCCCGACCTGGACCCAAGGAGAAAGGCCCGAAAACCAGAGCCCCTTCCCGAGCCCGGGATGGTCCTCATTTCAGCATCTTGACTGTCAGCGACAGGACACGCGCACTCGTCCTTGCCGGGCTCCGCTCGCCAAACTGGCACACCGACTTTGGGGCTCGGGCAGCAGGAAAGGCACCCATAAGCTGTGCGCAAATTGCTGTAGAATCATCTGGGCGGCACGCGATGTGCTGCTCTGACGACGCCGCGCCTCGACGAGGGACACTGACTTCGATTATCAGCGCACATCGGGCGACGAGCGTTTCAGACTCTGGCGCATGCCGAAGAGGACGAGGACATCTTTGCTCAATGCATGTATACATTTCGCTTCCCCCCCCACAGCTGCGCTGGGCCCCACAGAGATGCCCTTCCAGACTGGAGGACAACGAGCGAGGAGGGAGAGAGGAGGAGGAGGAGGCGGAGGAGGAGGAGGAGGAGGGAGGAGGAGGAGGGAGGAGGAGCGTGAGGAAGAGAATGAGGATAATATTAAGGAGGATGAGGAGGAGAGTGGGGAGGAGGAGGGATAGAGGAGTAGGAGGGAAATGCGCCATGCAGGAGGAGAGCCCCGCCTCGGGTCATGCAGGCTGGTGGCTCAACCAGAAGTCTACAGAGGCCCCAGGGAGCTCCGCGAGGGGGTACCACTCACTGCGTCTTCGATGTCCTACTCTTCGTCCTCGTCCTCCTCCTCTCTTCCTCCTCCTCCTCCAACTCACCATGCGGCACCTTCCCCATCAGGGTTTTGAAGGATTTTGAAGTTCTTGCATTTTCGGTCTCCCAACGCTCCAAGACGGCCGGAGAAAACCCCAATATCGTCCCAAGGTGCCCCCCCAAAAGCCCCAAGACGGTCCAGGAGGACCCGAAGCCGGCTTAGAAGGCCTCAAGGACGGCCAAAGAGGGCCCCAAGAGGGAGAACCCGAACTGAAATGTTACCTCCCGCGCCCCAAGATGACCCCCGAGGCCACCAGCAAGACTCCAAGAGGCCCCCCCAAACCCCCCAGGAGGCCACAAGAGATCCCCAAGAAGCCCCCAAAAGCTTTTCAAGAGGCCTGCAGTCCACGACCCAAGGACGATGGCGGGATGGGCCGACGACTACTAGATAGAGGAGGCACGGTGCTCTGCGTCTGCCGCGGCAGCAGCGGGGGGAGGGGGCGAGGGAGTCACCACCCCCCCCGCCCCGAGCAGAATAGGGAACCAAACTCTATACACCGACGCTTTTTCGGACCCTGTGCTGAAATTTGCGCAGGACAACGGATCCTGGTGTATACGGGACCCTAATGTGTACACTTTTCGTTGTTTACCTGGGAAGCGGAAGAAAAGGATACACCACACCACAGGGCTGAACCTAAACGGTGTTTTTCGTTTTCGTTTCGTTTTCGTTTTCACTCGCTTTTGTCTCGAATCCGCCTTTCCCGCAAAACGAAGTCGAAACGGAAACGGCCCACAAAATCGCAAAAAAAACGTGTAGGCCCAGCCCTGCCACACCAACCCGACGTCGTCCCCGATCCTCTAAAATGTCCGGGGATTGAAAAAAACAGCCCGCCACCGGCCATGTACATGTTCCAGTTTCCGACAGAGTCCGGCGACGGTGACGGCGACGACGATGGCGCCAAGCCCCTTTTGGCGCGCCACTGCGGAGAAATGCGCGCAACTGATGGCGGCCACGGAAGGGCAGCGCAGGGGAGCACAATGCCCTTCCCCTTCCATCTCCAGGCGTTCTTCGGCCCGTTCAGACGCAGTCGTCGCCCTGCCTTCGTGCGCCCTTCGGCTCCTTCGCGGGTCTCCTGCTCCCCTTTCGCCCTTCCCTGGGCATCCGGATCCTCCGTCAGGGTACGTACTGGCATTCAAGCCTCTCTAATACAAACAGGCACACAATGTTATTGTTGTGTGTCTCTCTCTCTCTCTCTTTCTATTAATCTTCCTTGTTTATTATTTCGATGCTTCTTTATCATTCGTACGTTATTGTTTGCTTCTCTCTCGCTCTCGCTCTCTCTCTCTCTCTCTCTCTCTATCTCTCCCGCCAAAACATACACTTTGAGTCCGAACAAGCCGTCGAAAAAACATTGCCAGGGGCGCTGTGAGGTATTCGATGAGCTCTGAAACGCACCAAAACGTCCGGTACATTTGCACACATTTATATGTACATAATATGTTTTTGTATATGTTTATGTATATATGTACTATATACATATACATATATATATATATATATAAATACGTGCACTTGCGTGAACACAAATATGTACATGTACATCCTGACCTCTCTTGTCGCAGCGATGTTTTGGTCACGCCGCGTTCGCGCCAGGGCGCGCCGCCGCGGCCTGGCGCGCTGTGCATCTATGCGTAGCGAGAGAACGAGCGGCCGCGGAGGATCGGCGCCGCGCCCCGGGGCGCAGCGAGCAGGAGGAGGAGGGGGAGGAGGAAGAGGAGGAGGAGGAGGAGGAGGCGAAGGATGCCCCCTCCTGCCTCCTCCCTTTCTCTTTCTCCTGCCCCTCTTCTGCCAATTTTCCTCCTCCCTTTTCACCTCCGCCTCCTCCGCCTCCTCCTCCTCCTCCCGACAAGACTTCTCCTAAACCCTCCCGCCTTCTGAATTTGTTTGGCTGGCAAGGCTCCAGCTGCACAGACAGGTGGCCGTGGAAAGAGCCACGGCCTCAGCAGAGACAGGCGCAGCGACGCCTGAAGTCTGCCGTGCAAGGAGGGCGGCACCAAGCAAGCCGCGTCTTCCTTCGGGGCCTGTCTCGGGCAACCCTGGCACAATAACAAGACACCAGGAAGCGCGAGACGCAGCCCAGTGCGGTCCTGTGTGCACGGGCGGCCCGTAACGCCCCCCGACCACGCTAGCGTCCGAAAGCGACGATCGCCGCCGCCCGCCGCCGTCTTCGTCAGGTCGGTCCTCGCCTCGACCTCCTCCACAGAGAGCCCGAGGGAGGGGTCTGCCGCCGACTCCGCGGGGGCCGACGGCTCCAGCGCCACCGCGCCCGCGCCGCCGGCCGCAGCCGCCAGCCGCAGCCGCAGCGCTGAGCTGGCCCCGCAGCGTGGCGCGCCCTGGGAGGGGACCGCGCGCGCTGCACGGGGGCCGAGGTCGGCCCACTCGTCGTCCAGCACTTCAGACTCCTCCTCCTCCTCCTCCTCCTCCTCCTCCTCCTCCTCCTCCTCCTCCTCCTCCTCCTCCTCCTCCCTTGCAGCGGGCCCCTCCTCCAGCGGCACCTGCAGGAGCACGAGGCCCATGCCCGCACCGCCAGCATCAGCGCCTCCTCCACCATCCGCCACACCGAGGGACGCCTCCGCCGCTCGCCGAACAGCGAGGGCTTGGCGTCGACGCCGCCGCCGCGCCGTCCGCGCCGCCGCAGCGGCAGGCCGCGCAGCAAGCGGCGCGTCGTCGTCGGGGGCAGCCACGCCAGCAGGCACGGCCGCGGCCGTCTGCAGCGGCCGCTCCCCGCACGCGAGGAGCGTGGCGGAGATGGCCGACCTCGTGACGGCCGCAACCGTGCGGCGCGGCGCCCCAGCCAGCACCGCGGCCCGAACGGCGGCCTCCACAAGGGAGGCGCCGAGGGCCGAGGGAACCCCTTTGGGCTCCGACTTCCCGCAACTGCGCCTCGCCGAGAAGGGGGCGCGCGCGGGCGAGGCCGTGCGATCGCTTGAGCCAAAATGGCTACGGAGTCCCTCCTGCCTTGTGAGAAAATTCCAGAGCCCTCGGAGAAGGTTTCGGAAACTTCGCAGAGGCCGGAGGCCTTCCGGGTCCTCTGGGAAGGCCCGCCCCGTCTCACTTCCTCCCCTGGCTCGCCGCCGAGAGGCAAAAAGATTCACGCTCAAACACGATGAACTTTACGTGCGCCCTGAACCAACACGCGGCCACAACATGTCACATGCTGGCAGCGCCCAGCCCAAAGGAGACACGAGACGCCCGCCAGAGGGGGGCACGTGCCACTCTGGACTGCACGAGCTTTTCCCTGCCAAGATGGCCCCAAGAGGCCCTCCAAGATAGCCTCCAAGACGCCCCTGACGCCTCCAAGATGGCCAAGATCGCCTCGAGAGGGCCCGAGATACAACCAAGGCGGCCCTAGATGGCTCCAAGGCGGCCCAAGATGCCCTTCAGACCGCCCAAGAAGCCCCCCAAGAGGGTTCCAAGAGGACATCCAGGAGGCCAAACTGACGCCATAATCTTCGCGTTCTCGTCGCTCCGAGGCTCCGCCGGCCAAAGACAGCCCAGCCCCAGAGACCGCCAAGATAGCCCCACGACAGCCACAGAAGCCCGCAAGAGGGCCCCAAGACGGGCCAAGACAGCCCCGAGACGGCCCAAGAGGCCCCAAGACGGCCCCAAGGACCCCCGATACGACCCCAAATCGCCAAGGGGGCCCCTACGACGGCCCAGGCAGGCCCTCGAGACGGCCTCCGAAGGCCAAGAGGCTCGCGCAGAGGCCCCCAGGAAAGGCTACGAGCCCCCAAAGACGGCCTCAGGACCCTCAGACAGGCCACGAGGATGCCACAGGATGCCCCCAAGATGCCCCTGAGAGGCCAGCAAGAAACTCCCAGGAAGTCCCCAGAGGGCCCCATGCTTCCTCGTCCTCCTCCTCCTCCTCCTCCTCCTCCTCCTGCTCCTTTTCCTCCCTCTCCTCCTCGTCTCTTGTCGTTCCCCAAGGCTTCCCCCAAGGGTTTCCACAACAGCTGGGGGAGCACATAGTTCAATAGCTTGGCCAAGCTTTGCCCCAACGTTGGGCCACATCCACATTTCCAGAAAAGGCATGGTCGCCGAAGGCGTCTTCAATCCGCCGCCCCCAGTGCGTGCTAGACTTTGAATCATTTTTTCTGACCTTCTGCTGTAAAGGTTCCCACTGGCCCTTCGGCGTGCCCAGCCGCCCCACGCCATCAAGGTTTTCAATCGGCTATCCGATGAAGGTGGCTCCAAGAGTCTCTCCAAAGAGGGACCTGGTCGCAATCATATTGGCCGCAGAGTGACCTCCAAGAAGGCTCAATCTTGCTTCACGAGGGCCGCACATGCACCCAATACGGCCTACATGGTGGCCTCAAGACCGCCAAAGACGCCCCCGAGCAGGCTCTGAACAAGACCTTCATGGGAGCCTCAATAGGCATCAATCATTGTTTTCTTGTAGGTTCAAACAAAGTGAACCCATAACGAACCCGCAGATCCCCGTTCCCAGACAGATGGGCACCTCCGTTTGGATAGGAAGCGCAGTAACACATTCCGATTGCGCGGTTTAAGTCAGAATCACACGAGGTCGCTCGTGTCCGGCAGCATCGTGGGCCTTCGGAACGCGTGCGCTCCGCGAAGTAGCGCCAAGGAGCCCTCTTCGCAAGCAGAATGGGCCTCTCCTCGTGGATATGGCCGGCGCGGATCGGACATGTGGAGTAGGCGAAAAAACCCAGAGTACAGTCAACCAGTATAGTAAGGATGCGCGATAAGGATGCAAGGGCCTAGGAAGCCCACTTCGAAGGTTTTCGAGCGGGGCGCGGCCAGCGAAAGCAGCGAAGGATGGACCGAGGAGGCAAGGATGCAAGGGTACCCTTGGGAAGGTTGCCCATCCTTACTATGCGGGTTGGCTGTACCAGCTAGTATCTTGGGTCATCGCGCAATGGCCCCAAATCGCGCCAGCTCTCTACAAACCGCTGCGCCCTGCCATCAGTGATAGCAGTTCCTCCGCGGCGCTTGAGAGCCTCCACGGCGAACGCGACCCGAAGGAAACCCAGGGTACCTTGACAATTCGCAGGCGATTCCTTGTTCGACTTGGCGCGTTCTGAATGCCCTGCATCATTATAGCTCATCCCTCTCCATACCCTGTCTTCCATCCCTCTGCTTCATCCCTGTCCACTTCCAACTGTCCCTTCCTCCTCACCATCCCTCCCTCTCTCTCTCTCTCCCTCCCTCCTCCTCACCCTCCCTCCCTCTCTCTCCATCCCTCCCTCCTCTCTCTCTCTCTCTCTCTCTTGGCCCTTGAGTCATCCTGATGCGGCCATCACCCACCCAGCAGCGGTCGCTGCTGGGGGGTAACCAAATCAATGAACAAGGCGGTCCCAGTGAAGGGACCCTGGGGCTGCCGGCTGGTGGGAGATTGTAGAATGCAAAGGCGACAGGCGACAGGCGTGACGAGCAAGGCGGGGGGAGTGGGAGGACGAGAACAACAATCAATACCTCCTCCTCCTCCTCCTCCTCCTCCTCCTCCTCCTCCTCCTCCTCCTCCCCCTCCTCCTACTCCTCCTCCTCCTCCTCCTCCTCCTCCTCCTCCTCCTCCTCCCCCCAAACAAGAGGCCCTCCTCCCCACCATTGCCCCCCAACTGCTCGCGAGGAGGCGCCCTGGAACCCCTCCGTTCATGTTCGACAGCGGCAGCCACGGCTGGCCACGGCCCGCGACCCGCGCGTCCGCCCACAGCCTGAAGTGTCGTGGTCGTGATCGTCGTCGCCGTCGACGACGACGACATTCCTCCAGTGCTCCTCCTCATCAGCAACTCTTTCCTGTCGCACCACGAGACGTGTTGGCAGGACGGGCCGGGCGTCTCGCGTTTGACTTCTTCACAGTTTGTGATACTGAAACGTAGCGATTGCAACAGTTTCACGGATGTAGGGCGGGTCCTTCTCAAAATGTGGCTTTCGCCTGAGCGCCGCGCGCATTCCTCGTAAAAAGCTTGCAGGGGTTTCACAGATTAAGGGCGGGTCCTTTTCAAAATGTGGTTTTCGCCGTAGTGTCGCGAACATTCGTTGGAAAAGTTTGCAAGAGTTTCACGGCTCGAAGGCGGGTCCTTTTCAAAATCCGCCGACCCTGTCGGCGTGTGTGAAGGGCTTTTCCGTTCGAGCCGTCATCTCCGTCATTCTTTGTACTCGTCGTCTCTGTCCTTCCCTTTCCCTGGGAGACCTCTTCCCCTGGGCTCCAGCCAAGCCGACCTTGAGCAACCTCGTAATTGAGTCGAAGGGAAGCCCCTTCCCTTTGATCCCTCCCCCGCCGGGAGGGGGGGGGGGGTAGCGACCCCCCCCCCGGGTCAGATACGACGCCCCCCCCTGGGACTTCCCCCTCTTGAGCAACCCCTGGGCTCCAGCCAAGCCGACCTTGAGCAACCTCGTAATTGAGTCGAAGGGAAGCCCCTTCCCTTTGATCCCTCCCCCGCCGGGAGGGGGGGGGGGGTGTCGACCCCCCCCCCGGGTCAGATACGACGCCCCCCCCTGGGACTCCTCTTCCCCTGGGCTCCAGCCAAGCCGACCTTGAGCAACCTCGTAATTGAGTCGAAGGGAAGCCCCTTCCCTTTGATCCCTCCCCCGCCGGGAGGGGGGGGGGTAGTCGACCCCCCCCCCGGGTCAGATACGACGCCCCCCCCTGGGACTCCTCTTCCCCTGGGCTCCAGCCAAGCCGACCTTGAGCAACCTCGTAATTGAGTCGAAGGGAAGCCCCTTCCCTTTGATCCCTCCCCCGCCGGGAGGGGGGGGGGGGGTGTCGACCCCCCCCCCGGGTCAGATACGACGCCCCCCCCTGGGACTCCTCTTCCCCTGGGCTCCAGCCAAGCCGACCTTGAGCAACCTCGTAATTGAGTCGAAGGGAAGCCCCTTCCCTTTGATCCCTCCCCCGCCGGGAGGGGGGGGGGGTCGACCCCCCCCCCGGGTCAGATACGACGCCCCCCCCTGGGACTCCTCTTCCCCTGGGCTCCAGCCAAGCCGACCTTGAGCAACCTCGTAATTGAGTCGAAGGGAAGCCCCTTCCCTTTGATCCCTCCCCCGCCGGGAGGGGGGGGGGGGTGTCGACCCCCCCCCCGGGTCAGATACGACGCCCCCCCCTGGGACTCCTCTTCCCCTGGGCTCCAGCCAAGCCGACCTTGAGCAACCTCGTAATTGAGTCGAAGGGAAGCCCCTTCCCTTTGATCCCTCCCCCCCCCCCCCCCGGGTCAGATACGACGCCCCCCCCTGGGACTCCTCTTCCCCTGGGCTCCAGCCAAGCCGACCTTGAGCAACCTCGTAATTGAGTCGAAGGGAAGCCCCTTCCCTTTGATCCCTCCCCCGCCGGGAGGGGGGGGGGGGTAGCGACCCCCCCCCCGGGTCAGATACGACGCCCCCCCCTGGGACTCCTCTTCCCCTGGGCTCCAGCCAAGCCGACCTTGAGCAACCTCGTAATCCGCCGACCCCTTGGGGTCATCGGCGTGTGAGATGCTTCCCCCCTCCCCAAACCCCTCCCCCCGGAGCCTGGTCCGGTCGTTTTGGAGGGGGGGGGGGGGGGGGCCGGCCGGATTCCCCGGGATCCGCCGGCGCGGTCCGGGGGGGGTCATCCGCTCCAGAGAGTCTGCTGGGGGGGCCGCAAACGAGCGAAGAGGCTCCCAAGAAGCTCTGCAGACGGTCCAAGAGGGCCCCGAGTCGCCGAAAAAACACTCGAAGACGGTCAAGATGGCCTCCAGATGGCCCCAGATGCCTCCAAGACGCCCCAAGAAGCTTCCAAGACGCCTCCCAAGATGGCCCCAAGAGGCCAAAATCGTCGATTTCCATTGGTTTTTTCAACGTTTTTGGCCTTCGCGTTTTTTCGGGCTTCCGACGCTCCAAGACGGCGAAAGAAGCCCCCAAGACGGCATCAAGACGACCCGAGAGGCTCCCAAGTGGGCCCCAACACGGCCCAAGAGCGCCTCAAAACGGCTCAAGAGGGCCTTCAGACAGTCCAAGAGGGCCCACAGAGGGGCCCAAGAAAGGCTCCAGACGGGGACCACGAACCTAAAATTCTAGCCTTCCGCCCCAAAAGGCGCCAAGGAGGCCCCAAGAGGCCTCCAAGAGGCTCCAAGAAGCCCCCAAGAGGCCCCCAACAAGCCCAAAAAAAGCCCCAAGCTGCCCCAAAACAGCTCCCCAGAAGCCTCCAAACTGCCTCCCGCAGGCCCCCGAGAGGATTCTCACGACGACGGCGCCAGAGGCTCCCACAACGGTCAACGAAGCCCCCAAGATGGCCCCAAAAAGGTGCCCAGCCTACGCCGTCGAGTCTGTCGCCGCCATTGTCGTCCTCGTCGTGTTCTCCTGCTCCTTCTCATCCTCCTCTTCCGCCCCCTCCTCCCGTCTCCCCTCTCAGCTTTCTGTCTCGTATTCCCTCCACTGGCTCACTTTTCACCTTCTCCGCCTTTGGCTGCTCCCCCATCCTCCCTCCTCCACGTCCCCCTTATCCATCCCGTCCCCAGCGGTCAGATTCCTCGCAACTTCCGTGCCTTGTCGCAATGCTCGTCACTTGGTTCCGCCGGGCGTTTCGGAGGGTCTCTCCGCGGCGCTCGTCCCGTGCATGTCTTGCATTTCAGGGTGCCCTTCTTTGCGTCGCAGTGTGAACGCGACGTCGTCCCGCATTGCCGTCCAGGGCCCAGAGGCTCCCAAGACGTCCCCAAAAGGGCGCCAAGACGACCCACGAGGCGCCCAAGTCCATGGGCTCGCTCCGGAGCTCCAAAACGACCCCTGAGACCTCCCAAGAAGGCCCACAGGCAATCCAAGAGGACCCCGACGCGCCAGAGAAAGGAAGAAGAACCAAAAAAAAAAATGATCGACCAAGATGACATCCAGACCACTCATGAACCCCTCCGGCCGCCTCACAGAGCCTCCAACAGAGCCCCTCCCAAAACCGGCGATCGCCCCAGAAAAAAAAACAAGGGGTCGGCGGATGTGGCGTAAGCTTGAAGATCTCTTGCTGCGCATTGCGAACAGGGTCGGCGGCACCGGCCGTGAAGCCTTCGCAATATGGCTCTCGCCGTAGCGCCCCACACAGTCGTCTGACAAATTACAGCGATGAAAAGGACTCTTGCGGCTGACGTCCCAAAACGGGTGTTCCGGCATGATTGAGGGCTCTCTGGGCGCAACAGTTGCGTTGATTCGTGGTGCTGAAGTCCCAAGAACGGTGTTCTGGCACGATGCAGCATCGTCAGGACGCAACAATAAAGTTCATTCGCAGCGCTGAAGTCCAAGAACTGGTGCTTCGACACGAGTGAGGATTCTCGGGCGGCTGCCTTCCAACGGGACAATTTCCATCAGTGAAGTAAATTCTCTACAACATTGTTGATACGCCTTGGGTTTGCACTTGTCGTCCCCCCTCTTTCTCCACCTCCTCCTCTCCCTCCTCCTCCTCCTCCTCCTCCTCCTCGTCGTCGTCGTCATCATCCTCGTCGTCATCCTCGTCGTCATCGTCATCGTCATCGTCATCGTCACCGTCGTCGTCGTCGTCGTCGTCGTCGTCGTCGTCGTCATCATCATCATCATCATCATCATCATCATCATCATCATCATCATCATCATCATCATCGTCATCGTCATCGTCATCGTCATCATCGTCATCGTCATCGTCATCACCATCACCATCACCATCACCATCACCATCACCATCACCATCATCATCATCATCATCATCACCATCACCATCACCATCACCATCACCATCACCATCACCATCACCATCACCATCACCATCACCATCACCATCACCATCATCATCACCATCATCCATCACCATCACCATCACCATCACCATCACCATCACCATCACCATCACCATCACCATCACCATCACCATCACCATCATCATCATCATCATCATCATCATCATCAGAATCATCATCAGCATCATCAGCATCATCAGCATTATCGTGTTCATCATCCTCATCATCCTCATCATCCTCATCATCATCCTCATCATCCTCCTCATCATCATCCTCATCATCCTCATCATCCTCAACATCATCAACATCATCATCATCATCGTCGTCATCATCATCATCACCATCATCATCATCGTCGTCATCATCGTCATCATCGTCATCATCATCATCACCCATCATCATAATCATCATCATCCTTAACATCCTCATCATCCTCATCATCCTCATCATCATCGTCATCATCATTATCATCACCATCGTCAGCATCATCATTAGCATCATCATCGTCATCATCATCACCATCAGCATCATCATCAGTATCAGCACCATCAGCAGCATCAGCATCATCAGCATCATCATCATCATTATCGTCGTCATCATCATAATCATCGACATCATCATCTTCATCATCTTCATCAGATTCTTCATCATCATCGTCGTCATCGTCATCATCATCATCGCCATCACCATCACCATCATCACCATCATCATCATCATCATCATCATCATGGTCATCATCATCATCATGAGCATCTCAAGCATCAGAATCACCATCATCATCACCACCATCACCATAACCATCACCATCACCATCACAATCACAATCACTATCACCACCATCACCATCACAATCATCATCATCCTCATCCTCAGCATCCTCATCCTCATCCTCATCATCATCACCACCACCACTACCATCACCACCACCACCACCACTACCACCACCACCACTAGAACAACCACCATCATCATCATCATCATCATCATCACCATCACCATCATCA